TTTCCCTGCCTTTCCTCAACTAGGACTTACATCTGCCTAGTCATGTCCTGAGGCTCGTCAGAATGACTCCAGATTTTTTACGTTCCTCACTATTGACATTTAGGGCTGGATACTCTTTTTTGTAGGGGACTGCCCCATGCACTGTAAGATGTTTAGCAGCATCTCTGGCTTCTACTCAACAGAATTCAGTAGCACCTCCTCCCCTAATAGTGAAACACAACATGTCCCAATTGCCAAACTGCCTGTATGAGGGGAAAAATCTCCCCTACCTGAGAATCACTGGAACGGTTGAATTAGCTTCACTTCTTACCAACTTTAGGACTTAGGGTTAACAAGGGATATAACGAAGACCGAGAGGGAGCAGAGAGAAAAAATTAGCTCAAAAAGCATCTATATCAAACAGGGAGGCAGAGTCCAATTTCTTTATAAATTCTAGATTATCTGCCAACCTCAGGAGCACCTGTGAGCACAATGCACTGTGCTTGTCTAAGTTATCGGTTACAGGTTACATGAGATGCCACTCGGATGGAGGGGCCTTTGTGTTTTGACCTTAGAGACGGTGTCAGCTGGAATTTTGAGCAGGCTATAAACATCCAACACACTCTTGCACAACCCACTATGCCGTGTGAGGTTAATACAAGGTGTCACTTCTGAGCCGTGGTGCTTTGTTGGCAGTTCACTATGAATTTGGGAAAGGAAGAAACCGCGGTGCTCAAATGACTAGAAACCGCCACTAACAAGGTGCCGTGGGCTCCTGTACTCCTTTCTGAATGCGGGCTTTTTCTTGAGTTCTCTCTAGCCTTAGAAAATAGCCAGCTAAAATCCCACCTGCAAATCAGTGAGCTGAGAGGAATTTCTCAAGTTTTTAGACCTGCTGGCATTTATTCGTTCTATCACAGTTAGTTCTCCACACATATTTAGTGCCACCTCATACGAGACAGTTTGTTTAAAAGCATATAAGGCTTTTTGTGGTCCACATTTCTGACTGGTTTCTCCTACATCACCCTCTTACTCCCACTGAGAGATTCTGATATGATGGGCTTCTGCATTAGGAAACGAAAGATTTAGTATTACATTGCCTGCCGGTGGGTTTTGTCACTTTCTACATAAAACGAATAGCACCTCTATTCCATGTATTGCATATGCATCCTCAGAAAAACAGACAAATCAATCTGCATCATCTCAGCCTCTCAAAAGCATTTGACACATTTCATTACTTCCTTCTTCTTTGAAATATGTCTCACTCTTTTCCTATCATAACACCAACTTCTCCTTAATTCCAGCTTCCTGCTGCTCATCAGTTTCCATGACTCTTCTTTTTTTTTTAAAAAAAAAAAAATCCTTTGTATTTATTTACCTTTATCATTGAAAGTATTACATGTCTCCCTTTTTCCCTATTGACCCCTTCGTGACCGTACCCCACCCCCAGGCCTTCACCACACTATTGTCTGTGTCAGCCAGTCTCAGGGTAAATTAGGCTGCCTTGCTGAGGGTACAGGGTGTCCATTTGCAAGGGAAAGAAGCTTCCTAGAGGCTACAGGTATAGGGTTGTAGGAAATGTTGTTCTATTGCTTATGCAAAAGGATGCTAAACTGAAAGTTTTAGGCATAGCAGAATAGACACCACAACCTCCAGGGAGGTGCTAATCCGGATTTACAAGTTTAGACATATTTAAACCCCTCCTCCACGTGGATGTAGAAGGGCCTAGGAGAGGAGTTATTTGGAGGGAGTCACTGGCAAGCTCTGACTCCCACATCCCCGTCCCAGCGGCAAGTTCATGGGCCCTCGCAGTTCAGGGTGACACTGTGCACTGGGATCTGAGTCCTGCCTGAGAAATCTAATGGGAAAGGATGGCTGGACAGGCCCGTGCAGGACAGTAGAGGTGGGAAAGGGCTGGAGGAAACTGAGCACACAAAGACTATTTAGGCGAAGAACATCTGAGTGTTCTGCATGGACTGGATGCAGGTCATTAGGGAGAGGCTGGGTTCACTGGATCCTGTCCAAAAGGCCAGGATGGGCTAATCAGATTGCATTTTAGAATGTTTGCCTGATGGTTGAGGGAGGCAGAGAATTCACTTGCCTGGGAGTAAAGGAGAATCGTACGCCCTGGTTGCTAACATCTGTCATCTTGGACCAGGGAAGCATCTAGTCTAGAGGTGAAGTCCACAGAAAAGAAGAACAGCCAAACGACCAGCAGAAAAAGGACACATGAAACACGGCCAAATGCCACGTGAAATCCACCCTTGATCTGAACGCTTCGCTGATGTGAATCAATAGACTCCTGCCCTGTCAAGTTAAGAGTTGAGTTTTCTAGCATTTGGCACTGAGAAACCCCTTCATTATACAGTCTTTTCTAAATGACCTGGGAGAAAAACCACAGCCCCAATTTGAGCCAGACTAAGAATGTCCAAAACCAAAAATAGGCAAAGGAATCACAATGTCAACTTCACTAGGTTCTCAGCGTAAACCCTCTCTCTAGGGAAGATGTGGACTCTAATCCAAATGAGACATTCAACTTCTTTGGGCCAAAAGGCAAGAAGCAGGGAGAGTCAAGTATGTGTTACCTGGTAATGAACTCTGTGGGAGCCAGAAGAAACTGATTGCAGGTCCTAGTGAGAAAATGGAAAAAATATAGTTTGAATAAGCTGCTGCTACAACTCTCCCCCCTGAACTCCCAATTTAATATTATTAAAGTCATCTGGAAAGCATCTAACCCACCCAAACTCCTCAAGGTTAAACAAAGAAGACAATGCCAAAAATAATAAAAGCACACCAAGCTGGGCTGAGAGAAGAAAGGCCATTCGGCTATAGAAACTTTTAAACAGTGTTTACAGGTGACTGATATATTACAATTCCAAGGAACAAGAAGACCAAAAGTAAAAGACAGCAGCTTTGTTCTAATAAGCGGGGTCATGTTTAATTTGCACCTGATCTTTTGGCTTGTGAAGACAGCTTCTAAAAGTCCCCCTTGAAGCACTCAGAAAGAATTTATTTATCTTAGACCAAATACATACTGTCCTGGTAATTGTGTTTATACTGATAAGTTGCTCGGCAAACACGGGTTTTCACAGACCGCAAAGAGAAAAATCGCCGGAGCGCCTCTGCATTAACATGGAGAGCAAATTAACAGGGTTGAAATTAATGAGGTTTTACTGGCAGATTCTGAGAGCCTGGCTCCCTTTATAAAGTTTTATAACTAAGTTGCCATCGCCATCGTCATGTCCCGCAGGCTTCTTTGTTAATGAGTGTATTGCTTTTAATCGCAAATGTCAGCAATCCTGGGTAACTTTGTTCTCATACCTGCTTCCCACTAGGATTCAGCAACTTTCTCTCTGTGCCCAAGGTAGTTTTAAAATGTTGCCTCTATGAGTTCACTCTTTTCCCCCTTTTTTTGAATCCCACTTCTTGTGGAATATTGGTGTAATGAACATGGCAATAAGTTGATCTTCAACAGTTATGTATTTTAGCTACTGTGAAATCTTGTTACTCGAGTGTTAAGGAAAAAAACATTTGGTAGCATTTATGATGAACTTTCGATTGCAGATTTATTGAAAGTGGTTCCACAATAAAATACAAACATTATTTTGAAAAATGAGATGCAGTGTCCCTGAAATATTGATTTGGACCTGAGTCACATGCTAAAAAGTTCACAGATTTTAACATGTTAAAGTTATCCTTGATAAAAAAAAAAATAGCCAAGGAAGTAACAAGTATAAAATTTGTTGACTTTTCTATTCTCACCCTTATCAGTATTCAAAATTTAGCATTTATCCCAAAATATTTTGCACTCACAATTTCTCTATCCTTAACAATGCTGAAGAGAAAAATTAATAATTTTTCACATTACTTTATGCCTCCTACCTGAATTTATTTCAAGAGAAATAAAATCCAATGTTTAAAGCTAAGTGGCTACAACTTGATAGAATTTTAAACACTGTATATCTTCTTTATTTGTGACATTTGTGTGCGCATGATGTGTTGTCTGAAAGAGAGTTGCTAATTTGGGGGTACCTTTTAGAATCACCCGGTAGCTTTAAAAATATAAATGGCTAGACCACATCCAAAACAAGTGATTCTAATGTGCATCTTTAATCAAGAAACAATGATAAAGAAGTCGCTATTTATGCTCTTTACCATTTGTAAAATAAAGGACGTGACTACTCCCCTCAAAGCTTTATAAAAGTAGCCCATGATCACTGCAGTGAGGGGGCTGGGTCTCCTGGCTTTACTGGTGCAGCTTAAGTTCATGGGAAGGTCATACATGAGATCTCTTCCTCTCTCTTTCTCTATGGTAAAACCAGATTGAGAAAAAAAAAATAGATTATTCTTTTGTGTTCTGACACAAGTTTCTATGAAATGTAGAAAGTTTTTCTTTCCTGTACAATTTACATTTTTTTAAAAAAAAAATCTGTCACTGACAGAAGTCTGTGCTAGAGACAAAACATTAAATAAGCCCAAACCTCTGTTTTCTCTCATTATTTATTAGTGCCCTTTGAAATTCTTCAGAGCTCACAATTACAGGGATGTAGCCTGGCTACGGTTCCAAGCTACGGTGTGGGTCACAGGAGAACAACACCACGCTATAGTTAACCCAACTGATCCTTGGCCATTTCACACCTGAGCTGGAAAAGCTGAGGTGTGTGATTCAAACACAAGGCCGCCACATTTCCATTTCCCCCCCAAGTGCATCATTTCAGAAACAAATAAAGATGGCTGGGAGTTGTTTACACAAATGAAACACCGAACAAAAGGTATACCTGACTATAGAAACTCACCTCCTGCAGGCGATCTATGTACATACGGCAAGTCTCCAAGTCACAGTCTCCACGCACAACGAGAATACCCAGGGGAATGGCTAAGGGGGGAAGGAAAGAGAAAAGTCTAGAATAAAATATTCGATTTTTCTAGATTGGCATACATGTGTTTGTGAGGGTTTAAAAAAATCTCAAAAATATAATTTTTCTTTTGGATCATTCAATCCAAACTTCTCCCTATACCTCCTTTCTGACCCCAACCTCTCCATGTCTGCAGCTGTCACACTCTTTTCTTGAAGTCCACCTTGTCCCCTGACACCTGGCCAGCCTTCATTTCACTTCTTCTCCTTGGCTCTGATATGAAGTGCAATCTCATGGAAACAGAGGATTGGCAGGACCAGGAAGCTGCTCACAGCCAGCGGGTAACCTACGCCTCCATTGTAATAGCCAAAGTACCAGAGAGGAATGAAAACAAAATCATGATCCTGGACACTTACTTCTTTAATATTTCTGTCTGTTTGCAATAGTTTGCAGCCTGAGAGACTCACCTACTCAAAGCACCATTACTACCTGGTGGCCAAAAGCAGGCATAATGTTGAAGAAAAGAAGAAAAAAGAGAGAGAAAAGAAAAAGCTTCTAGAAGGTTAACAGCTTAAAAATCCAACTGATCTTGCCCTGGCCAGTGTGCTCAATGGTTAGATCGTCAGCCTGCACACCGGAGGGTCTCAGGTTTGATTCTGATCAAGGGTACGTACCTGGGTTGCAGGTTTGATCTCCGCCCCCAGTCAGTGTCTGTGTAGGAGGTAATAATCAATGTGTTTCTCTCACATTGATCTCTCTCTCTCTCTCTTTCTCTCTCTCTCCCCCTCCCTTCCTCTCTTCCACTCTTTCTAAAAATCAATAGAAAAATAGCCTCACTCCTCAGGTGAGGATTAAAAAAAATCCAGCTGATCTGAAAGATGGTCACTTTAAATGTTCAGCAGCAAATCTTCAGGAAACAATAAAGTGAAGCTACTAAGTGTCTTAAGCACCCTATTTAGGCGAAGAGAAATGCCATACCATGGCTTTATTGGACAGAACCTCCTACTTCAGAAATAACCATAAGATTCCTGAAATACTGAAAAAAAATGTCTTCTTCGCAAAACTTAAAAAAATGCATGTGCTTATTTCTGATTTTAAAAGTACAATTACACTATTAAATCCATGATTTAATAAGAAAATCTCAAAATCTTGAATTAACCAGCTAAAGACCAGCAAGCGGATGATATGACAGTAGGACTCACTAAAGATTTTTTAAAACCTTGCACTCATTGAATTTATTTTTAAAGCCTAATCATCAATAAATGGATTTAAAAATGCTTTACAATTTAATAATATAGATAATAAAATACATTTAAAGTGCATGGAAAAATCTTGAAGAATTCACAGAGTAGAGAAGGCATACATATAAATAAATAAAAATAATGATAACCTAACATAAGCTAAAGTAAATATGTGAACTTAGTCATTTTGAAAACTGTACAAGAGAGGGACTAATTCTTGCCTAAAAGTCAGATTTTAGGCTTTTTGAAGATATGAAGCCACATTAGGTTTTTCAGTTAGAGGAGCAAGGGTGATCGAGGGAAAAAGAAAAGAGTCTATTTCTCAATATTACCTCCCAGACTGGTTTCCACTAGAGAGATCAATACCCTCCCATTCCTGTAGCTTCCCAAAGTCTTGCTGCATAAAACTTGAAAGCAGCCGTCATCTTGACCGTGATGTGTAAGCCTGTGAATGAGTATGGGCCCTCCCATCAGAAATAAGGCTTGTTTGCCTTTACTGCTCCAATGTCTGGTAGGTGTTCAATAAAAGCTTGTAAGAAGAGGAAGGAAGGCAGGCTTAGGACCTGCTCAAGTGTGAAAGGGAAGTGTATCTTTAAGGGCCGAGAAAACTTTCCAGGATAGGCAAAGAAGCAAGGGTTTGGAGAAGGAGGAGAGAGTATGCATTGGGTTGGAGCTTGCCTTTGTCCAATCTTCTCAATACTAAGCAAGAGAGGCAGTAAGCAGAGGGGCAGGAACCCTGCGGCTGTCGTATGTTTGAGATACAATAATCTGGAAAATACTTTTTCCCTCTTTTTAAATATAAACAGAAAAAGTCTTCAGTCGGATAATCATGCATCTTTGACAGAAATGGAAAGGAAGTACCATAAGGAGATACTTTAAAGAACTGATTAAAGTAATCATCTTCAGCTAGACTACTAAATAGATCCAAATAAGGTGATCCACTGAGGTAAGAGAAGAATAGGGATTTATACATAGGGATTTATACATCATTCCTAGTACATAAGGAATGATGAGGAAAAGCTACACTCTTGGCCTAAAATATAAGTCAAAGTGTGTGGCAGCAGAATATAGTAAAAATTAACATGAGAGCCTATGTTAAAATCTTGCTGAAGGATATCTTCTTTTAATTTCAAATGTGTAAATGTAAAGGAATAAAATTTAATCAATATGTAACTATCTACTTAAATTAGAAGACATTCTATAGGAACACTGGAATCCTGTCATCACCCCTGATTTCCTTCTATTATCAACCCTTGGGTTAGTCTGCTCATACATTCAATGGACTTGGTAGCAGATACTTTAAATTACAATTAGACAATGGATATTGTCTCTCTTTCAAGCATCTTTAGCTAGAAAATGGATTCATCCAATCATCTACCTTATAAATTGTCATAATACTATAAAGATTAGCTGGTAATAGTTCTATAAGTTATATTCCTGCTTACTTAAAATTAACCTCTCCTTTCCTGCAATGGGAAAAATAATTGTAAAAATACTGTAATCTGACATTTCCAATGAGGGCTTTACATGGTTAAGAGAAAGCAAAAGTTGTAGGAAATTACCATCTTCCTTTTCTCTTTGGATCCTCCTTTTCCCTACCCAGTTGAATCAAATGTGCTTCATAATTTCTAGTAACTATATTCCTTGGCTGGTTGAGGACAAATTTTTTTCCCTTACTCTATACCCTACCTTTCTTATCCTAGCTTTCTTATTCACTTCTCTGTCCCTCCTATCAAACCATGTTCTCTCATGATTCTTGATTCTTGAGTATAAATGACTAATAATTGATTAAAGTGTTCATCCTCTAAGGAACACTTGAGTTTTAACATGTCTGACATTTGAGCTAACATAATTGTCACAGGCGGAATTGTGTGTGACCCCAAAACTGATATGTTGAAGCCTTAACACTCAAAGTGATGGCATTTGCAGATGCAGCCTTGGGGAGATAATTGGGGTTAGAGGAAGTCTTGAGGGATGGGACCCTCCTGATAAGGTTAGTGGCCTGATAAGAGGAGATACCATAGAGTTTTCCCTTATGGGCACTCTCTCTCTCTCTCCCCTCCTGCTACCATTTGAGGACACAGCATGAAGATTGCCATCTATAGCCAGGAAGAGAGCAATCACCGGAAACCAAGTCAGCCAGCACCTTGTCATGGACAGTCCAGCCTCCAGAACTGTGAGAAAATAAATGGTTTAAACCACGCATGCTATGATATTTTGTTATGGTAGTAACCCTAGCCGACTAAGACAATGATAAAGCTTTGATAAATTTAGGTACAGAAATATGAAAGACACTGTGCAATTAACTGGCGATCCTCAGCGCTAAGAAAATTATCCTACCAATTACATCTTCCCAGCCAACGCATGAGCCTTGATCTGGCTCCCCTCTCAGGCTTGACCCAACCTCAATTAATCCCCTTTCCCTATTTCAGTTTATATAAATGCCGCATAATTCAGACTGTGATTAAGTTAATTGGTTAAAAGCTCCATTATATATTTTATATGTGCATGCTCTGGATTTTATGTTTGAAATAAAATGCCAACAGGTCATACAAATTAATTTGGCCGTTTATACTTGAAGTTAGGACTACTTGGACTCATTATGCAAATTTATGCCAAACAGTGCATAAATTAACATCATTCATCTTCAACAAATCCAAAATCTTCTAGCAACCACTCCACAAATATACTGTTATCTGTAAAAAAATCTTCCAAAGTACATGCACTAAAATAAAGTATGGTTTCAAAACTATAGATTTCTCCACAAATGATAAGCAGAGTCAGGGAAGAGACCAAGCTCAGGCACCCTACATATGGGTTTGAATTGCCCAAAACTTTAAAAACCAAAGTTTTAAAAAGCTATTAAATTGAAATTTCTTAGAGTTTTTTTTTAAACATGATTTTATTGATTTTTAGAGAGAGAGGAAATGAAAAGGATAGAAACATGGATGAGAATCATCAATGGCTGCCTCCTGCATGCCCCCTACTGGGGATTGAGTCTGTAACCTGGGCATGTGCCTTGGCCAGGAATCCAACCAGCTACTTCTTGGTCCATGGGTTGGCACTTCAACCACTGAGCTACACGGGTCGGGCTAGACTTTTTTAAGAAAATCTGAACAATGCTTTACAAAGAGTTGGAGGTATGATGCAAAAGACAATCAAACAATTTCTTCAAGTGAATTAATTATTTGACTGAAGAAAAACAAAAGACCCTTGTGGACCAACTCAGAGATGAAAGCCCTTCCCAGAGATCTCTGCAGCAGGTTGTACTCTGGGACAACCATAAGGATGTGCCTGAATTGCATTGAGGCCAATGAGTTCACAATGGCAGGGACTCTGAGGGAAGCGAAAATACAAATTTTGTGTCTTCCCAGGTGCAGACCTATTTCCCGTGGCCTGCGCAAGGAGCTGGTCCTGACACAGGTGATCTGAGGCCAAGCCTGCTGGCTCAGAGAATTGGCAGTGAGAGGAGAACAGGACGTGGTCTTATATTAGGGAAGAGCCCTGCCCCTCTAGAAAAGCCAGCGGGGGCAGAACAGACCTTTACTATCACCTCCTCAGGGTGCGTGATCTAACCCATTTTATAGTTAAAGATACACAAACTTCAGTCTTGTTACAAGGGTTATACTGTATACACATGAAGCAATGTGACACCTTTAGGCCTGGGAGCAATAAATCTGGTTGAACAGGAAAATGATAATAATGATTATATGATCTAAAGAAGGAAAAAAAGGAAGAGGAAGAACAAGAAGATGAGGGGGATGAAAGGAAAAGGAGGA